GCATCAGACTCAGTCGATATCCAATTGCTGCACTTCTGCCTGTGTTGGCTCCAGAGACCCACTCCTCCTCCAGTTTCTCTCTTCCCCTTTCTTCCAAGGGGTTAGTTTGCTCCAAGGTGAGATGAGTCAGCACAGCTCAGCACCTCACACAGAGAGCTCACCTCATTTTCCTTAAATCTGCCCATCTCTCTTCTGGGCAGCACCCTTACCCCACATCCTCCCCCAGAACACCCGCCAGGCACCAGGCATGGCAGCCCGGCTTACTGAGAGCTTTTAAATATTTTCTCATTTTCAAATCCCAACCCAATGTCTAATATCTTCCTAAAAGATTGATTTCTTTAAAGCAATTTAATCTCCACACGCTTTTTTTAAAACAACCTTCCCAGCAGCCAATCAATACATCAATAAAATACAATACAAATAAAGTTGAAAGCCCTACTCCTATCATACTTATTACGTGGACCTCACAGCAAGGCTACTATGTAAGTGTTCTCTTGTATTAATATCATTTGTTTTGTACTTAAGCTACATAGTCATTGAGGGTAAGAGCAGTTTTCTTCTGAATTATGTAAAATTTTTAAAACAGTGTTCAATTTATATTTGTTCCATTAATTTTGGTGGTATCCCCCAGAAGGTCATAGATACCCAGACTGCCTCCTGTTCCCCACCCCCGCAGGTTTCTTTACGTATAGATTTCTCCTCTCTCGGAGTTCCTTTCCTTCTCCTCTCGCTTCTGTTCCGGAAGGAGGAGGCTCAGTTTAGACGAACCTCCTCCATGAGACTTTCTCTTATTGCTTCAGCTCGAGTTACTCTCTCCCTCCCCTGTCTGCCCGTTGTTCTAGACTGGGATTTAAAAGACTCACACGTCAGTTGCTAGCTGTGGGAACATGGGCCAGACATTTAATCTCTCTGAGCCTTGGTTATCTCTAAAATGAGGATAATGACACCTATCTCATAGAGCCTAGTGAGGATCAAATGAGGGGATGTATGTGAAATTTCTTTGTAAACTGAGCTGGGATAAACAAATGAAAGGGGTAATTATCTCTATTATGGCTCTTATCTTGCTCTGCTTTGCATTGTAGTTACTTGTCCCTGGATCTGTGACCTGAACTGGTTTGAGAAATCTTGGGAGAGTAACGATGGTTTTACTCATCTTTGTAACTCCCACTGCGCTGTGCGCACATAGGTGCACATTAGAATGTGTTGAACCGAATGTGCTGAAGGCGTATTGGAGCCAGGCCCTTCTTGCTACAGAGAAGCAAATGTCTATCACAGCATTTGTACTTCTATAGATAGCCAAAAAAGACAAAAAGAAAAAAACCCCACATTTGCCTTTTTTTATACACCAAAAGATGATTTTCAAAGGGGAAAGAGGGAGTCATTTCCCCTGATAAATGCCACATGTTCAAAGTCTGCACAGCAAGTAACTAACACAATTCATCAAATGAGATTATAGGAATTCAGGAAACAGCAAGTCCTAATTAAACCAAAACAACAATCTACACCAGATGCACGCTCTATTTTCAAGCTCTGATTTTATACTTTATTATCCCACAGGGTTTTGGAGTCAGAACTTGGAGCAGAGGGGCTGAGCTGGGAGCCAAGAGAGGATGACAGGCCAGCTCTTGTGGAGGAGTCTAAATTGGGATGTCAGATGTTTATATTAAAAGTCAGGGACATCTTCCAACCAAGGAGGGATGGTGCTCTTAATTGACCAATTGACTTCCTGGATCCAAAGATGGAGGAATAATGTTGAGAATTCTGCCGTAAATATTCTCCTTTTATATACCTTCTTTAGGTCTTATCTGACCCTCCTGGTAGGGTTGGGCACTGTCCCTCTGTGTTCCCATCATTCTGTGCTCATCTCTGCCTAGGACGTAACACACTGTTTGGGAACAAGAATAGTCACCTGATCCATGTCGGGCCAATCAGACTTTCAACAAGGCTTTGAACATTGAAACTGAACTAGTCAGGTAATGTTAAACTTGAAATCCCCATAATTTCTTCAAGAGGAAATGTTGACTAGACTACTGGATGAAAAGCGCTGTGGGCTAAAGATGTACATTTGTGAATTATCATCATATAGATAGTCAGCCACGTGGATGACATCTTCCAGGGTAAGAGATTACGGGGAGGAGAGAGGAGAAAAGAAGAGAAGACAGGAGAAGAGAAGAGAGGCAAGGGAAGCGAGGAGGGCTCAAACACAGATTTACTGTTTATTTACTTGGTGAGGGACTTCAGGCAAGGCCTTTGATCATCCTGAGTGACAATTTTACTTTCTGTGAAAAATTCACTCATTAATTCAGTTGAAAATAGTTTTTAAAATCCTTGCTATAAGCCAGACACTGTGCAAGATGTCGGGGATACAGTGGTAAACACGATGCAGATTTTGTCTTAAAATATAACTACAACCCAGAGTGAGAGAGAGATAGATGAATGCTGCAACAGGATGCTGCCAGGATGGTTTTGGTGCCCTTTTGAGAGGCCATGGCTCAAGTCCTGGAGGATCAGGAGAGTTCTCTGGAAGAATGACATCTAAGAGGAGACCTGAGGAATAAATTAGCAGTTATCCAGGTAAAGGTTAGGAAGTGGGAGGAAGCGAACAGGACAGAGGGGACAACAAAGGCAAAAGCTCACAGACAAGAGAGGAATTGGTGAAATTTGAGGAACTATAAGCATTTCCGTATGATTTAGAGACAGAGTATGCAATGAGGAGAGATGAGAGTCAGGCTGGGTCCAGATTATGAAGCTTCTTGTAGGTGGGCTGTAGGAGGCTGACTTTCATCTCAAAGAAAGTGAAAAACTATGGAGGGGTTTTAACCACAAGAATTTTAAAAATAGAATTGTGTTTTAGCAATAGAATTCTTGTTTCACTGTGGAAACTGGGTTGGAAGTAGGAAGGTCAGTTAGGAAGCTGTTGGAATAATCTAAATAAGGGATGAAGATGTCTTGAATCACAACGTTGGTTGTAGAGATGAAAACAAATTTGGATTCTAGTGGCCTTGAGAAAGTAGGGCACAGCAGCAGGTAGCTTTCCTGGGGTGAGCAGAAGTCAAGAAAAACTGGACTTCAGTAGTGTGATGGCATTTTTCTGTGGGCCTAGCAATGAGGAGCTAATTAACCCAACCACCACAATGACCTCTGACCCCTGTGAAGTTTTATATATGTATGAATGTGTGTGTATGTGTGTTTGCCTTAAGAAACCATCAATAAGAACACCCTCAATTTTCAACCATGAAGACTGCAAAGTTACCTACATCAGCATCTCCCCATGTTTCCTTTCCGCCTGTAGAAGAGAAGCTATCCATCTTAACACAGGCCCTTCTCTGCTTCGGATGCTTTCACTTTATCTTCTTATGAACAGTTTCCCCTTCTGTCTCTTGCATATTTAGACTTTCCCTCTCAATTTGATCTTTCTCATTAGCCTTTAAACATGCTCAAGTCTTTCCTGGTAAAGAGCACTTGACTCAACCCTCATCCATCTTCCAGTCTATCTTTCTCCTCCCTTTTCCTGCCAAGTGTCTTGAAACAATGGTCCAAACTCACCGTCCACCTTTTCTCTCCTTCACCTCACTCCTCAGCACACTTCAGTCTGATGTCCACTCAGAATTCCTCTTATTTATTTTTACAAACTTTTTAGTATTGAAGAATACAAAAGAGAACCAACGACACTACAACAAATACTTGTGTAATCAACTAAAATTTTTAAAATGCCAACATTTTTCACATTTACTTCAGAACTACTTTGTCAAAAAATAAAACATTGCTGTTGCTAACAGCGCAGTCCCATTCCCTTCCTTCTCGTCCGCAGGGCAGGCATTATCAGGAATTTAAGATACAGCCTCTCTGTTTGTGTGCAGCTCACCACGGTATCTCCAGGGCCTAGTACAGTGCCCAGAACACAGGTGCTCAACAGATATTGTTGAAGAAATAAATTAATGAAAAAACACCAAATAGTTTACATTTAAGTGCTTTGAGGAAATGGGGAAGGCTATTATTTTTCTGAAAATAAGGTGGGGGAAGATAAGCTATCTGGGGAAATGGCTCCTTGTGAAAAGAGCAGGACCACGGATGAGTCTTTGGGGCTTCAGGAAGTGGAGTGCCAATCTGCAGGCATTTTTCTGGCATGGTTATAAAATCTCAGCTTTTGGGTAGAAAATGCAAGTTTTCTGGTATTCACCTCAGTGACAGGTAATGCATTGTTTCATAGAGTAACCCATTTCATTTCATACTCCTTGCTTGGAGAAAAGATTAGTTTTCACTTCGATATCTCTTTTCAAGTATTTTCTTTGAGTATTTCCATAGCAACCACTACGTATCACACAAGCTTAGCTGAAACAGAGGATTTTCTCCTCTCAAATAATGGTGACATATTTCAAGTAGGAGGGACTTGAACATATCTTTCCATGGTAGAGTGATGCATGAGAGGGACAGAGAAAGGGAAGGAAGCGTGGGGAGGGAAAGAATGTGAGTGAGAGGTACAAAGAGTCTTCTCAATGAAAAAGAAAAAAGAAAAAGGCAGGATAAGTAAAATTGGATTAGTCACAGAGCTGTTCAAATTATATTCCTCTATACATACCACTCTCACGCGCACACACACAGCGTACACACGTGTACACACACACACAGGTGTACAAGTAAGGAAAACATGCAATCAGAAGGGGGAAATCAGATTTGTGACCTTGTACCGGCTCTTAAACCCTGTGTTTCAGCAAAGTATTCTTTTTGCCTGCTGGTTGCTTGGAAATACTCTGAGAAGCTTGCCACATGCCTGTGTCTAGCCCCACAAGGGAGACACTCAGTAATGCGAATAGCATGCAAGTTTAAGAGATTAGAAAAGCAGGATGAGGGGCATGGCTGGTGGTGTAGTGGTTAAGTATGTGTGCTCCACTTCGGGGGCTGGGGTTCACAGGTTCGGATCCCAGGTACAGACCTGTACACCGCTCTTCAAGCCACGCTGTGGCAGTGTCCCACATATAACATAAAGGAAGATTGGCACAGATGTTAGCTCAGGAACAATCTTCCTCAGAAAAGCAGGATGGCCCATTATGATGTCATGCCACAGACTCAAAAAATTCTTAATGCTACACATCCAAAGAGTCCAGGTAGCCCCAGAGAAGAATAGATTGTTTTCGCTAGTTTCATAAGTGAAAGTCTGCCTGGCATCCTACTTTAGCTAGAAAACAACATCAAACAATGTATAGTTTTGTGGGCCAAGAAGTTTATGAGTAAAGAACAGATCAAGAGATAGGAAGTCTGTCTCCTAGCATCACATTGGCAACTATGTACCTGTTTGAGCTTGGGTAAGTCAGTTCCCCTCTAGGGCCCTCATTCTCTCATTTCTCGTTGTGAAATGAGAAGAGAGCACTGGATAATTCTAACAGATTGCATCACTTAGCAGTTTTTATATTGTAAATGACAAAAAAAATTCAACTTGGCTTAAAAATAAAGAAAATGTATTGGATTATGAAGTGGAAAATTCCAGAAGTGGGGCTGGCTTCAGATAAGGTTTAATGTAATGTCTCAGCAACGTCACCAAGAACCCAGTTTTGATATCAGTTCATCCTGAGACTGGTTCCAAGATGGCAGCCAGAAGTCTCAGGCCCGCATGTTACCTCACGTGGCAGGAAAGAGGGATGCATTTGCACTGGATTCCCAACAGGCAATCTGAAATTTACCCTGGTTGAACCAGCTTAGCTAGCAAATCCACCCCGTTAGCAATCACAGTGGCCTGGGGGAGAAAATGTCCTTATTGACTTAATGTAGATCATACATGCTCCAAAACTGGGACAGAGCCAGGATTCGTTGTCCCTGGCAATACACAGATCTCTAAATGGAAATTAGAGACAGCCGAGAAAGGGGTGTGGGGAATTCTGAGGAGACAATCAACAAATGTCTACTTTGGGGTCTCTCCAGTTCTGACATATTCTATTTTCATTTTCTGCCCCAGTGGAGAAGCAAGTTGACTTTGAGCATGAAAGGAGATATCATTTGAAGATAGTTGCACGTGGAAGTTCCTACTGCCTTTGCATTTTGCCCTAACCATAACCCTGACAGGAAACTACCCCAAAACCTTTTGGTTCAAGGTCTTTTGGTCTTTGGACAGTTAATGAAAATGAAACATATAAAGAAGGAGAAAACACACACACATGGGCACACACAGACATACACATACACACTCCATATGAGAATATGTCCATTCTACTATATAGTCCTTGTCCTTTCTCTGTTTTGAACTTCTGGTCCCCAAAACTCATTTGAAGTTTTCTCTATGCTTTTAAAATTTGCACTGAAACCACTAAGTTTCTAAGAATTTCTGTAGGGAACTTGATTCTTGAAGAATAGAGACGCATTTCTCCTTCCTTCATTGTCCTTTCAACACATACATGCACACATGTATTACATTAAGGAAAAGACACCACTATCAGCAAATATGAGAATAAAGAGGTTTATTGGTTAGAACATTTCAGGCAGAGATAATAAAAGGCCAAATCCAAATGGTTTAAACAAGGAAATATATTATCTCACATAAAAAGAAATCCAGGGTTAGAACAGTTGTAGGTTGGTGAATTCATCAGCTCAACGATATCACTGAGGACCTAAATTCTTCTATGTTTCTACCATGTCTTCCTCAGCACGCTGGTGTATCTTCTTAGGGTGACTGACCTCCTCGTCTCAAGATGGGTGCCACAGCTGTAAGTATCACATACCGATAACAAATCTAAAAATAGCAAAGAGTAGTTTTTCCTTATGCTTCCTTTTAAAAAAGCAAAACAAAGTCTTTCCCCGGACCATTACCTCCCTCCAAACAGACTTCCCCTCTGTCTCTTTGGTCAGAATAGTGGCACATGCCCACTCTTATATATCCTTGGAAAGGTGAATTACCCTAGTTGGCTTGCCAATCAGATTCACTTTCTGATTTCCTGATACCTGAAGCTAACTGGGTCTGCTACATAGGATTTTCAGAAGAAAAAGCTCCAGGGAAGAATGTATGACATGAAACATTTCTCTTAAGCCCCACCCGCACTCTGCAGCAGACTTCCCCTCATCTTATTGGGCGGAAGTGGGGTTTTGTGAGATACCAGTATACGACAATACCAAAAATATGTACTGCAATCACTCCTGGATTGGAATTCATGTTCCTCTTCTTGTTACTGGCCACGAGAATGAGAGTAAATATCTTATCATCACTGAGCCTCAGTCTCTCTCTCTATAAAATGGGAATAGGATCACAAGACTATCCTCACCATATGCTTTTGAAAATTAAATGAAACAGATAGGAAGAAGTGGCACATAGATATGCTAGTATTCCATAGATATTACTTCCTTTCTTGTTTTCCCATTCTTTTTTACTTTCTCTCACCCCCTAGCCACCATCTATGGACCTAGAAAAAAGAGGATTACACAGCACAAAATGCATTAAATTTTCATGTAGCTGATTTTTAATTTATTTTTAAATTTGGGGATGCATTTATTATATGAAATAAATGTTAGCATATTAAATTTGCTCCATATTTCAGTCTTTATAACCCTGGTCCGCCTGGCTCCAGAGCTCATGGATTTGATGCATTACTCTGTCTCCCAAGTCACTTACTGGGGTTGTAGGAAAGCTGTTTATCTGTTGGTTAATAAATCAGGATGCGAATGGTTGGAAAATACGACCTCTTCAAAGGTCATAAGACTCTCTCACTTCTGTCACTTTTCTCTTACAATCTCCTATTAGAATTTTAATTTTAGATGGTTCTTTGGACCAGCGTTCATGTTGTAATTCTAAGTAGATATGTTCAGCTGGACTACGGAGATTTTGCTAAAGGTCACTGAAGCTGGAATCGAGGTAGTGAAGGCTTGATGAAAAAGTTGACTTCTGAACCAGATTTTGAAAGATGACCTGGAATTTGTTAGTAGGAAAAAGGGAAGGAGAACATTCTGGGCAGAGGAAACTACATGTGTAAAATCTTGGAGGAAAGAAAGAAAATGGCAAAATTATCAAAAGACAACAATTTCAATGCTTTGGAAGTGTGGCAGGAGATGTGGCTGGAAAACACAGCTCAAATGTTGAAGATCCTTTCATGCCATGCTAAGATATTTACCCTTTCTTCTGTCAACTATGAAAAACTACTAAAGGATTTAATCAGGGACGAGGCATGATCAGACTCATGTTTCAGTGAGACAATTCTCATGGGGGATCAAATGAGGATTTGGGGTGATTTCTGTCTATGTTTCTGGACACTTTCCCTAAGCTTCTCCAATAATCCTACTGATTTTATTGATTTTTAGGATTTAGAACTATTAAAATACTTTTTTGGTGGAAAATTTCATTAGAAACTGCCTTTTGGTTACTCTTTTTCTCTGTTTCAGTTTACCATCCAAAAAAAGTTTAAGTAAATCAGTTAGCCAAGGTTTTTCCTGGCAAAAGACAGCTACCTTTTTCTCAGGAGGTTATGCTTGCTTAAGACTCCAAAGTCTTCCTCCTCTACCAGAAATGCTATATCCTTCCTCAGTACGGAACTGACACAACTCTGCAGTCCCTAGTTGGAAAATGTCTTATAGATGAGAGACAATCTCTGGCTGTGGAGCTGTTGGTAATGATTTTTGGAGAATGGCCACAGTTTCGCAATGTAACCCTTGAATTTCTTCAAGTTCTTGGGTGAATTCCATCTAGTTTTAGTGATTTATTTACATTTAGTTTGACAATTTGATCTAGAAAATCCTGTTTATTCCTAATCCTTTTCTAACTAAGAACTAAATGATATATAGATTATTTTTTTCCACTTGAAATTAACATTTGGTGGATGTCATGTAGCAGCTGGGGTCTCATTAAGCTGTGCTCTGTAGCACATGGAAGCGTGAGTCCAGTACTTGAACCTTGATTCCACTGCAATAAGTTCCAGGATGGACTGCAGGCTGATGCTTTGCAAAGAAATGGAGAGGATCATCAAATAGGCATCAGATGAGGTGACCAAGACAATCAGACAGGAAAATGAATGGCTAATCTGTTTCTGACCATCTAAATGACTAATTTAAATCTAATACTACATGATCACCTCTCAGTTTAAAGCTTAAAGGATGCCTGAAGTCTCCTTACTCAAAGGCTTTCATTTGTCATACTTGATGTTTAACTAATCTAGTGCTAAATTTTAGATTAAGTTTATAAAGGGACATGTGAGGTCATATACATATGCAAATTCATTCATTCATTTATTTTCTTTATTCAGTCATACATTTTTACGTTATGTGCCACACACCGTATTAGGCATGGAGAATATAAACTCAAACAAGACCCTGTCTCCCAAGAAACTTAAATATGTAGCATTAAGCATCATGTTAAACTTGATAAAGATATGAATATGGAGAAAGAATATTACTAAGAAACATCAAAATCATTCCGAGGCATTGGGAAATGTTTCCTAGAGAGAGTAATGGCTGTATTTATTTTTAAACGATCAGTAGGAGATAGCTTGATTAAGAAGGTGGTGGAGCAGGGTGAGAGAGGAAATTACAGCAAAAGGAATGTTGTAAACAAAGGCAAGTGGCGTGAACAAGCAGAAGTGCAGACATCTCCAAAAAGCTTGAGTGAAGGGCAGACGGATGTGGGAGGTGGGCTGCAATGAGCTGACGGGAGAGGAAGCTATAATGGGAGCTTGAGGTCAGAATATAAAGAGTTTTCTGCTCCAAGCTAAAGAACTTAAGTTTTACCCAAAAAGCCACTTCTTCGGGTAGTTCTCCTTGGCGTCTGTGATTGATTAGGTCAAACTTCTCCTATAAATTCTTATAGCACCACAAACATCTTTTACGTGGAGTTTGTCACGGATGTTATTTTGGTTTGACTGGTATGATCGATTGTTCGATCTGTGTCTTTCCCCTTTACCAGATTGTAAGCCCTCTGTGCTTCTGCCCATTTACCTCATGTGCCGTTTCTATGTTTCCTTTACTGTAAGCTCCATGAGGGCAGGGACCCTGTTCATTTTGTTCAACTTTGTATCCCCAGAGCTTATTACAGTCCCTGGCACATGGTGGACATTCAACAAATGCTGGCTGACTGACTGAATGAATGAACGAATGTCAGCCATGGGGAGTCATTGAAAGTCCTTAGGAAATGAATGATTTGCTAGATTATGTTTACATTCTGGAAAGATCCATCTGGGAGCAGTCTTGAATGATGAGTTGGAAGAGGGTCAGACCAGAGGAGAGAAGAATAGGTACAGGAGTAGCACTGTTGAGAGTTACGTGAGAGTCTGAAGAAAAGCAGTGTGGGAGGGAGTGGCTTGAGAGAACAGATTTAAGAGCAGAAAACCGATTTATTGAGAAAAAGACATATTTATAGGTACTATAAAGCTTGGAATCTATATAGCTTTATATTGAATTGGATGAGGACACAAATGACATTGAGATGCCTAGCATGACTGTTGCAGGTTGGGTTTCCCAGGAAACAGACTCCAAGGCACAGATTGTGTGCAGGAGGTTTAGGAGGGAGCGCTTGGCATTAACACTTGGGGAAGGGAAGGGAAGGGAAAGGAAGCAAAGGGAAAGGGAGGGAGCAGGGTTTGCCAGAGAAAGAAGTTGGGTTCTGTTGCAGTCTCCATGAAGGCCGCAGCCAATCCTACAGAGAGCTCTGAAACTGAGATGGCCCTTCAGAGGAGGCCCGAATTTGGGGAGAGGCTGGAATTTTATACTTCTGAGTTAGTCGTTCATAGAACCAAGACTAGCCCAAGAAAGTGGCATAACCTTCGGCAAGGCAACTCTCTTCAGCCCAGGCAATTCTGAGGTGGTCTGATAGCTCAGGGCTGTTTGCCATCAACATTCTCAGCAGCTGGGGAAATACATATTTCAGTCAGCAAGGAGAGTGGCACATCACAGCAAGCGCTAGAACGAATCCCAATTTTGAGTAACTAAGGATATTTGAAGATAAATTTCAAGGGTAAGATGATTATTATTATTATATTAACTCAGTTTTTGAGCACAGAATTTAAAGTCTGTGGGTCACACCGTGAACCATGACCAAGAAAGAACAGTGTGGCAAAGTCAGCTCTAATCCCTCCTCCTGGTCCTGGGAGAGGAAGGGATTAAGAGAAGGGTGGACTTGAGGGAGGCGAGCGGGAAGTTCTGTCATCAAGAGATATTCAGATGTGCTTGAAAGAACAGATTGAAGAAAGCGTAGAAAGGAAATAGGACTGTCTTCCACTTCCAGCCATCAGAAGCACGAAAATGTGACCCACACCCAGGAGACACATCAGTTTGCAGAAGGAGATCCAGGAATGACAGAGATGATGAAACTAACGAACAAGGACCTTGAAACATCTTCGATAAATATGTTCCATATGCTTAAGGATGTAAAAAAAATCCAAACATAGTGAAGAGATAAATAGAAGACATAAAAAAGAACCAAATGGAACTTCTAGAGATAAAAAAATGCAATATCCAAAATAAAAATTTCGCTGAGTGACATTAACAGTGGATTAGACCCTAGGGAAAACTCAGCAGACTTGAAGACAGAGCAGCTGTTCAAAATCAATCACAAGGAGGAAAATAAAAAACAACAACAACAAAAAACTGGAAAAAGATGAGGATGGGCAGGGTTCCAGAGGCGCAGAGGAAGTGTCTACTGGGAGGTCTTCAGGGAATATGATCCTGGAATAAACTTCAGCTGGACAGGACAGAGACTGGAGTCAAGGAGAAGACATAGGCTGAAGAGCTTGGCCCTAGGATATGCGGTGGATTGCTGCCATCATTTATTTATTTTAAAAATGCTTACTAAGGCATACCACCATTTATTGAGTGATATGTGCCATACTTTGAACGAGCCCCAGGAGATCCAAAGATGTACAAGACATAGTTTATGGTCTATAAAGAGAGGCAGGCAAGTAAGCAGGCAAGGGCAGAATAGGATGCTAAGTACTACGATGCGGTGTGGACATTTAAGGAGGTCACTCCTTTTCAGGGTCATGCAAGCACAGAGTCAGCACTTGCCTGTCCTGAGCGTGAGTGCTTCCTTAAACTTGGTGCCCTGGATGCTTCTCTTGTCTGGGCCCTGGGCAGGACAAGTGAATCCTATTAGAAAGAACTGCTGCCTTTAGGACTAAGCTACTCAAGGTTTCTACTGCTCTTCAATGTCATTGCCTTCATAAGGGAATCCAGGGTTTGAGGGAAGCCTGAGCGTCTGGCTCCTGGAGAAGAACTGCTCATCTGTGAACCCTCAGCTCTAGCAGCCCTCCCTAACCAGCACCATGGCTAAAAAGACAACAAACAGAAACAAATAGCCAGTTAGATGGAGGTCAGAGCTTCCGCCTTTGCAGCCAGTGTGCCTTTTACATCCTTCTGTCTTCTCACCAATAACACTTTATTGTATGTCGGTCTTTCTTACTAAAAAGTATCCTATTGAGTTTTTTTATTTTGAAAAAGCATTTTTATTATGGCAAAAAAAATATGTAGGAAACTTTTCCATTCTAACCATTTTTAAATATACAATTCAGTGGCATTAGTTACATTCACAGTGTTCTGCAACCATCACCAGTATCTATTTCCAAAATTCAATTCAACTCAATTTTAGTCTAATTCAATTTTAGTATCTTTATCACAGTGCAGAGCACAAGTGTGATTTTATCAATATTTATTGAATGAATTGTTGAATGGATGCATGAATTAGTATAACAGTCAAGAGATTGACTATAAATACACGGTAATTAACATTCCCATTGCTGCTATGCAAAAAATGACAGAGAATAGAGGTTGTAAAATTTAAACAAGTTGTAGATAGTTAGTAGAAGTGGCTACATCAGAGGAAATATCTTTAGAAAGAGAACTTGTGCTAGAAGAATCATGGCATGCTTTTGAAGAAGAAGTTACATGAAGGAACTCAATGACCTCCACAAGCAGGTGACAAATTCCCTTGCCAAGAGACAACTTTCAAAGGAGGCGGGCCTGATGGCCTTTCGCCGGTGGTTTGACTCCTGACGCTGTTTAGGAGTACTCAAGAGTTTGACAAGGTCCCCTAGGAGGAGGACTTGCTGGTCCTATTACCATGTTTAGATCTGAAAAAAATAGATTGACAATAATAACTCTTCTCTGTGCTTTATCATTGTGTGAGTTTCAGAGCACCAGGCAAAGAAGGAAGGTAAAGAGTGACTTTATTTCATGGTGATGGCGCAGGTCTGTCTACAGGTTGAGACAGGAAAGAGGGGCAGAATAACAATCAGAAATCTTAGGTCATAAAGAAAAATCAACAAGCATTGTTTTCTTCTAGTGAAAATTTTCCAAATATGTTGAGCATACTGTCTAGTTTGCTAGGGTCTCCCTGCTTCACTCTGTACTAAGAGGAACTGGTTATCTGACTGTGCTGTCTGTCAACCAGAAGGGCCTGGTGTGGTCCCGTGTAGAGGCCCATGAGGAACAGTAGCCCATTAAGACATTCCTGACAATGGGGCCCAGAAGAGTCAGAAGCACAGATGTAAGGCTCTTCTTGGCCACCTACTGGATCTATGACTTCTTTTTGGTTTTGTATGTTCATATTATACATATTTAGATAACTGTTATGACAATTATGATAAAGCAAACACCATAAATTATTCTCTGACTAACTTTTTCTACCACTTGAAGTAACTGTCTGGTCCACTCCTAACCTCCAAACAAATCTAAAAAGAGCTTATGGCATCTCCCTCCACGGACACCAGCGAGGAGATTTGGTACAGGAACGAGATTCACAGTTAACTTTAGCCCGTACAAAAGCTCTTCCCACTGTTGCAAGAGAAAAAGAAGTTTTCACCCAATGTGTTTTCAGTTACCGGATTCTCTTTCTTCATGGGAAAAAAGCCCTGCAATTATGGTAGTTGCCATCAAGAGAATAATGGTAACTAGGAGAAAAGAAACAGGCTGCATGGGCTCTGTCTAGCAATCCATCTGTACTAAGTAACACAACGAAATCCTTCAATCTCGTGTCCAGGAGACTTTTTTAGTAAAACTCAACCATCCGCTGATTCTTTCCCTTTGTGTATTTCCCCACTCCTGCTCCCAACTATCTCATATAACTCTATATGTCAGAGAATCTGGACCAGGAATCCAGACCAAAAGACAAAAACACAAAATATCAGCTTAAAGCTACTAGAAAGATAACTTTAATGTTATTTATAAATTTAAAGTTCAGCTTCTGTAGGCTTTAGCAAATATCATATAAACATACACAAAGACAATTTATAGGTTCTGTAGCTCTAAACTATTGTGGTTCCTAAAAAGATCCCGAGAGGAGGACACAAGGATACTTAGGAGCAAGGTGGGCTTAGGGCCAGGACTGACTTCAGGTACACATTTGGTGGGGAGTGCAGTTTTAAAGTTTTCTTTGAAATTCTACCATTTCTTTGGCTCCTTTTAAGATTCAAATGCCCTGTTTGAGAAACTCCACTGAGAAATTTATTACTCACTAAAGCTTCGGCACAGATTCTTTTCTCAGAGAAAGAGAGAGGCAGGACCTGAAAAGAAGAAAGAAAGAAAAAAAAGCGTAGGTGAAGGTTATGTCAGTGCTGGTATCTTTTGAAGGCAGAGGATAAGAAAGCTCTAGACCAAGGCCAGCAGGCAAGTGGTAACACTGAGAAGGAACTGCCAGCTCGAGGGCACAGTAAAGGTTAAGAAAGGCGAGGGCGCCAAATGAACTTCGCTTTAGGGTTTGGCCCCAAACTAGCTTCAACACTCATCACCTTCGCCCTCCAGCCCGCTCTCGCTTTCCCCTAGCTTCTCTCCTGAGCTTTGTCTGCTCAGTGATGGGTCAAAGAACCTCTTCTCTTGGTTCTTTTTATTTTCTTTGTAATGTAAATATCCTTGAGAGGGATCGTACCTGAGTCACTGACACTTTAGTGTAAAATAATCAGAAAGCTTTCTTCAGTCACAGGAGAATTGATATGAGCATTCCAGCTGCTGGCTGGGGATGCTTTGGGGAAGAGATTGACAAAGGAGGATAAAAAGAAGAGGACAGGCACAGAAGAGGAGAAAGGGACATCAAAACATCCTCTCTGATGTAACAGGATCTCTAGCCCCACTGCTGGCCACACTCCTCAGATTTCTTCCTCTCTTGTCCTCAGTGCCACGTTTTCTGGGGCTGTTCTCAACTGCAGTGCGTGCTCACACGTGTGTGTACCTGCCCAGTAAGTGTCCTGCAGTCTAGCATTCTAGTATATAGTACACACATAGTACATAGGAAGTATTCTGGAATTCTGTCTTGTTATGAATACAGGTTTACTGTGGTCACTTGGAGAGGTGATCAGCAAAAAAGAAGAGCTCACAAAGTGTCTTTCATCTCACTGCAGAAACTACTAAAACCATGAATTTCCTTCTCCAGCTACTAAACTGATAAACCTATTTTTTTCCGCAAAAGATTAAAATTGTATCCACAGAGGCAACCTCAAAGCAGAGTTAGTTGTTGTTCTGGAAGCAGGCTGACACATTTTCTAGGATTCTAGGACAAAGGGACAATCAGCTATAAAGTTTCTGAATGACCTATTCCAGGATATAAAATATAAATCCACTTTGGAACAAGCCATTTACCTGCAGTCCAAGACAGAAAACCATCTTCTCAGGTGAGGAAAGGGAGGGAGGGGGACGCAGATGATGCAGCAGAGGAAACAGAATGCCTGCGAGCACAGGCAGTCCTCTCTAGAAGCGGCATTTGCAGCTCCCCCTGCTTCTGCGTGTTCGTTTCGCTTGAGACTCATTCTTACTCTGACACCTTCAGGAAACTTGTAGACCAACTTTTTCTTTCTTTTTCTTTTTTTTAAACTGTGCACATTTATTGTAATTTTAAAGATACATCGGGACTTATTTCTACAATTTATGTTTCTTCCTTTTGCCATGACTTTTTTTTTTTTTTTGAGGAAGATTAGCCCTGAGTAAACATCTGCTGCCAGTCCTCCTCTTTTTGCTGAGGAAGATTGGCCCTGAGCTGACATCCGTGCCCATCTTCCTCTAGCTTATATGTGGGAAGCCTGACATAGCATGGCTTGATGAATGGTGCATAGGTCTGTGCCTGGGATCCCAACTGGCAAACCTCAGGCCACTGAAGGGAAACACGTGAACTTAACCACTACTCCACTGGGCTGGCCCCAGGTTTTTCTTTTTTAATAACATGCTGCCATAAAAACACTGTATGACCTGAAGAGGAGGCAGAAACAAGCTCCTATGGGATCCTTGACAGGTCCAGCTGACCCAGGCTGTCACTTAGGTTCTATTCATTCACATTTACTCTACACTCAGGTCTTATAGCTCTGGCAACTTATGGTTGATCATTTTCCTTAGACATAAAAGCCTGTGCTCTAAAATTTTTCAAGACTCAAAATAGTATCGTGGTTGTTTCCCAGGACTTTTTGGTCCTGTAATCAATCAGTCACACTTTACAGACTGAGACCTAAATCATTTGAAGCAGTTTTGGGTCTTTCCTCCATATCTGTTATTTAAATGGAAATCCCATGAATGAGAATAGATTCTAATTCATATCTCCTCAAGCAATAATCTAAATTAGGAATCGGCATCTTTTCTTTTTTTTTTTTACTGAAGTATAATTGACATACTCTAGCCTCTTAGTTTCAGGTGTACATCATAGTGATTTGATATTTATACACATTATGAAATGATCACCAAAGTAAGTCTAGTAACCATCTGTCACCATACAAAGTTATTACAACATTATCGACTATATTCTCCATGCTGTACATTACATCCCCATGACATTTATTTTTTATAACTAGGAGTTTGTACCTCTTGATCCTCTTCACCCATTTCATCTGCCTCCCAACCTCTCTGCCGTCTGTTAAATAGCAGTTTGTTTCCTGCATCTATGCATCTGTTTCTGTTTTGTTTGTTCATTTGTTTTGTTTTTTAGATTCCACATATAAATGAAATGAGATGGCATTTGTCTTTCTCTGACTTATTTCACTTAGCATAATACTTTCTATGCCCATCCATGTTGTCAAAAATAGCAAGATTTCATTCTTTTTATGGCTAAGTAATATTCCATTGTGTGTGTGTGTGTATATATATACACCACATCGTCTTTATCCATTTCTCTATCAGTGGACACCTAGGTTGTTTCCAAGTCTTGGCTACTGTAAATAATGCTGCAATGAACATGGGATAAATATATCTCTTTCGTTTTCTTCAGATAAATACCTTGAAATGGAATTGCTGCATCATATGTTAGTTCTCTTAATTTTTTGAGGAACCTCTATACTCTGTAGAGTATATAGAACACTATACATAGTGGCCACACCAATTTACAGTCCCACCAACAGTGTAGGAGGGTTCCCTTTTTTCCACATCCTTGCCAACACTTGTGATTTGTTGTCTTTTTGATAAAAGCCATTCTGTTGGTTGTGAGATGGTATCTCATTGTGGTTTTGATTTGTATTTCCCTGATGATTAGTGATGCTGAGCATCTTTTCATGTGCCTGTTGGCCATCTGTATGTCTTCTTTGGAAAGATGTCTATTCAAGTCCTCTGCCCATTTTTTAATTGGGTTGTTTGTTTTTTTGATATTAAGTTGTGTAGGTTCTTTATATATTTTCAATATTAATCCTTTATTGGATATATGGTTTCCAAATATCTTCTCCCATTCAGTTGCCTTTTCATTTTGTTGGTGGTTTTCTTCACTATGCAAAAGCTTCTTAGTTTGATGTAATCCCATTGATTTATTTTTGTTTTTGTTGCCCTTGTTGAGGAGACAAAAAAATATTGCTATGACCAATGCCAAAGAGCTGACTGCCTATGTTTTCTTCTAGGAGCTTTATGGTTTCAGGTCTTACATTCGAGTCTTTAAGCCATTTTGAATTTATTTTTGTATACAATGTAAGAAAGTGGTCCAGTTCCATTCTTTTTTCTTTTTTTTTCTAGATTGGCACCTGAGCTAACAACGGTTGCCAATCTTCTTTTTTTTCTTTTTGCTTTTTCTCCCCAAATCCCCCCAGTACATAGTTGCTTGTTTTAGTTGTAGGTCCTTCCAGTTGTGGCATATGGCACACCGCCTCAGCATGGCTTGATGAGCGATGCCATGTCCGCACCCAGGATCCAAACCAGAGAAACCCTGAGCTGCTGAAGCGGAGCGCGCAAACTTAATCACTCAGCCACGGGGCCGGCCCCCTCATTCTTTTACATGTAGCTGTCCAGTTTTTCCAATGTAATTTATTGAAGAGACTGTTTTGTCCCAATTGTATATTCTTGCCTCCTTTTTCATAAATTAACCAACTAAATATGTGTGGGTTTATTTCTTGGCTCTCTATTCTATCCCATTGATTGATGTGTCTATTTTTGCGTCAGTCCCATACTGTTTTGATTATTATAGCTTTGTAGTATAGTTTGAATTCAGGGAGTGGGATACCTCCAGGTTTCTTCTTCTTTCTCAAGGTTGCTTTGGCTGTTTGGGATCTTTGGTGGTTTCATACAAATTTTAGGATTCTTTGTTCTGGTTCTGTGAAAAATCCTATTGTTAATTTGATGGGGCTTGCACTGAATCTGTAGATTGCTTTGGGTAGTATGGAGTTTTTAACAATACTGATTCTTCCAATCCATGAGCACAGTGTATCTTTCCATTTATTCGTGTTGTCTTCAATTTCTGTTGTCTTATATCTTATAGTTTTCAGAATACAGGTCTTTCACCTTCTTAGCTAAATTTATTCCTAGGTATTTTATTCTTTTCGATGTAATTATAAACGAGATTATTTTCTTAATTTCTGTTTCTGATAGTTCATTATTAGTGTACAGAAATGCAACCAATTTCTGTATATTAGTTTTGTATCCCTCAGTTTACTGAATTCATTTATTAGTTCTAATAGTTTTTTGGTGGAGCTTTAGGGTTTTCTATATATAGTATCATGTCACCTGCAAATAGTGACAGTTTTACTTCTTCCTTTCCAATTTTATGGCTTTTATTCCTTTTTCCTATCTAATTGCTGCAGCTAGGACTTCCAATACTATGTTGAATAAAAGTGACAAGAGTAGGCATCCTTGTCTTGTTTATGATCTTAGAGGAAAAGCTTTCCGCTTTTCACCATTGAGTATGAAGTTAGCTGTGGGTTTATCATATATGGAAAGTCAGCACTTTTTCTGAAGAGGGCCACATAATAAATATTTTAGGATTTTAGGCCAAATGGTCTCAACTTTGCCTTTGTAGCTGGAAAGCACTCAGGGCTTAAACAAATGGGTGTGGCTGTGTTCCAGCAAACTCTTATTTACATAAACAGTTAGCAGCTGGATTTGTCCTGAGCCATGGTTTGCTGACCCCTGATCCAGATGGTTCTTTAAAACACTCTCTTTCTTTCATTTTTATGTACTCTTTATTACCACTATCTGAGAGTTATGAAAGTTCCTAAATTGACATAAACTATCTGTACATTCGTGTGATTTTCTTAAAATTGCAACATAAGAATGTACTTTTCAATATTTATTTATCATAAACTTAAAGATAAAAAACAATAAATTTCATCTGGCTAAATTCCAATTCTTTCTTTGAATACATAAGCATATTTTTATGCAGTTGTAATTTGTGTATGTATTTCATTTTTTTATTTTATGATTTACACAATATCCTTTTGTAGAGCCATTGTTATATATTAATATATTTTACTTACTTATTTTTAAAGATTATGTGATAAGTATTTCATTATACTTATAAAGCTAGCTTGCTAAAAATTCTCTTATTGTTAAATATTTGGACTTTTTCCCATTAGCTAAAAGGACTGCTATGAAAATCTTTGTGCAAGTGACACACAACAAAGTTAAAATCCAAATGTAAAAGCCGTATCACTTCTGCTAGCTCTACTAATTATTAAGCTCAACTATGGTGACATTATACACTCAAAAACACAACCAGATAGTAATTTTTTTGTAAAGGCAACCAGATTATAAATTTGTTTAATTGCCCATCACATTGAATGATGTCATAAGACTATCCTACACAACTTTTTCTAAGAAATGTGATTTGATCTTAAATTGTTTTTGGTCTGTATTCCTCTACAGATAGCATATATTCCTTCACAGATTCGATGACGTATCTCAATATTACTATACAAGCTCACATGTGCCAATGGCTTAAATACTTCAATCTATGTTCAAATACTGTATTTTAGTATTCTGTATAAGACAGTTTCATTAACATTGTCAACAACTGCATAATTAACCTCCAGATACTGTCATGCTCAAACTCAATATTGTCTTTTTCTAAAATGGGGAAAGTTGACTCTAAAGGTTGGTAGTTTCCTATTAGAATAAAAATCTTTTCCCCAGCACAGAGCTCAGATATTGCTTGGTATTTCCAGAGTCAGACATAGATTCTTGACTGTTAGTTTCAATGGACACTGAGGTCTGAAATAGCAGAGAGGGCTGAGGGGGGACATTAGAAGAATTCTTAGTAGGAAAGGGCTTTCTCAGGATGGCTCTCATTCAACCGGAGCATCTCAGAAATACAAATCCCCTACTTAAAACAATTGAGGCCACTAGGCACCCAAATATAGACGGGTTTGTAACTTTCGTTCCACCTATTTGCATCTTTAGGCACTTAAGTCAGCAAGAGACACCTTTATAAAGGACAAGTACTCTAGATCAATGCTTCTCAAACGATCAGTGGTAAAGAACCAGTGTTTTTCATTTTCAAAATGCCATCAATTGATATTTTTATAAAACACAATAAAAATAATGATCATAAAAATAAATTAAAAACATGCAAAATGCCAGCTCTCAATTTTGCATTTACTATTGGAGACAATTTTTATTTTTTTATTATTAGAATTAATATAAATATATTTACCATATTTATATTAGAGATTATATTAAATTAGAGTCAAATATAATCAGAACAAACACAGCATAGGTAAAATTGTAAAACAGTACACATTTTTCATTGAAAATGTGTGTATAGGTAAGTAGTCTAGATTTTACCTAGCCATTGTAAACAGGTCTGAGGCGTAAACTTAGGGAAGCACCAGTGTAGACGGCTTGGGCTTTAGAGTCAAGATACCTGGTCGTGTCTCAGTCTCTTACTGGCTGTGTGATCTGAGACGACTTGCTGTCTTAGCCCCATTTCTTCATTTGTAAAGTATGGATAAAAGTAAAATCAAATAGGGGGCTGGCCCCATGGCGTAGTGTTTAAGTTTGGCAGCCCATGGTTCGCAGGTTTGGATCCTGGGCATGGACCTACACTACTCGTCAGCCACACTATGGCAGCATCCAACATATGAAGTGGAAGGAGATTGGCACAGACGTTAGCTCAGGGCTAATCTTCCTCAGAAAAAATAAATAAAATAAAATAGTGTTGTTTGTGAGGATCAAGTAAAACAGAACATGTAAAGTTCTTAGGGTAGTATCTGGCATGGTAGATACTGAAAAAATGATGGCCAGGATTTCCATTATGGTGTTAGCCAGCATGGCAAAGGTTTAAGGAGACTTAGTGATGAAAAATGTAAAGAGTAGGCATGCATCTCACTTCTGGGTACCATCTAATAAAAGGAGTCAGATATACATTGAAAATCCCACAGCATAATAGACCACTAAGCTAATAAGAGTTTAGCAAGGCTGCCAGATGCAAATTCAATTTACGCTATCAATAACCAACAAGAAACTGTGATAGAAAGTGAGATGCCATTCATAATGTCAAGAATCGCTAAAGTTTCTAGGAATCGAAAAAACAAGGAACACACAAAATTTTATGGATAAATCTTTTAAATTCTATTAAAAGACACAAAAGAAGACATGAATAATGAATAAATGAATGGAATTATTTGAAACTATAAATTTGTCAGTTCTCCCTTAAATTTATTTATATATCAATATATTCCAATATAAACTCCAGCAGAAATTTTTGAGAAACTTGACAAACTGATTCTAAAGTCTACATTGAAGAATTAGGTTTAACTAATAGTTTTCAATTTTGTGTGCATGCAAACACATACACACACAAAGAGCAAACAAAATAGTATACACCAACACAACAGCAGACAAACAAAACATGGAACAGATAAGAACGCCCAGGAACAGAGCATGTGTGTAAGGAAACGACATATGTCAGAGACAGGGAATACATAAATTATTTCGTAGATGCTGCTAAGAAAGCTGGCTCACTTATTAAGAAAAACATTCCTACTTCATGCCATATATACAATGAACTCCAGATGGCTTAAAGACCAAAATGAGAAACTTTAAAGCTAGTGGGAGAAAATATGATCTTAGGGTGGAAAAAGATTTTTTTAAACAAAATTCTATAAGCACAAACTATAAGGTAGAAAACTGTTGGATCTGACTATATAAACATTAAAGATTTTTATTCAACATGGGCACAATAGACAGGATTAATAGATGTGTACCATACTAACAAAAGAAGTTGCAAAGTTTAAAATCAATGGAATTAATACTTAGATTATAAAAGGAATTCCTATTAATCATTGAAAAAAGTAGGAAAGTGAGTAAAGGATATGAATAGGCGATACACAAGAGGGGAAACCTGAATGACTCAAGTTAAAGAGATCCTCAACCTCAGCCGTAGTAAGAGAGATAAAAATTAAAACAATATTAGGCCACGTAATACTCAATTGGCAAAAATTTAAGAATTAGAGGACTCCAAGTTTTCAACAAGTTGGGAAAAACAGGAATCCACATGCATAGCTGGTGGGAGTGGGAACTGGGACAGTCGTTCTGGAAGGTATTCTGGCAGCTCTTAGGACCCTACAGTACAGCAGTCTCTCTCCTGGGAACATGCCTGAAAAATTCTTGCAGAGACTCATAAGGCACCACATAGAATAATGTACACAGCAGCATTATTTGTAACAGCAAAGAACTGTCCATTATCAGATGGAATACCACGTAGCTGTCAGAAGTGATGATTTAGTGAGTATACGTTAAAACACAGTATTGAGTAAGAAAGAAATCTAATGAGACACTATTATGTAAGCTAAACGCACACACATACACAAAATACCACTAAATATTTCTCACAGATACACACATGATATTAAGAACACATGTTAAACATCTTAGAGGAGGTGCCTACTTGATGGTAAGGCATAGTAATGGAAGATGGGGGATAAAGGGGAAACTGAAATAAAACAAGAAAGGGATCTTGTGGGATCAAGCATAGTAGTGTGCCATGAATCAAGAGAGGTATTTGATTAAATCAAAGCTCTGCACCTAAAATTCAAAAATTTAAAAAAAAAAAAATGGCATCCACAGTATGGAACTGAGTGTTACAGATGGCACGCTTGGATCCCAGTAGACACTTTCCTAAGCACGTGGAAACACGTGAGCCCCACAGGATAGAAAATGCAGATTGAGACACTGTTCTTAAATTCATGAACTATGGTTCTCCCAGATTGTTCTTCAGTCTCTGGAAGCTCTTTTCCATTCTGCAATACTAGTGAAGATTAGCCAAGTGGGGAGCAGAGGGCATGGTTTCTCCATCCTGAGAAGCTGGTGACAAAGCTGCCTCCTGGCTGAGGTATCCTAGAGACGCTCGATTATGTTCTTCCCTGAGCAGTATTTTCCATGTTTCTCCTCTACACGCTGGCAGTAGCAAATGTCTTACCATGGCTGCCGTCCAGAGAATTCGAAACCAGAGCTTTGCTCTGGGCGAGGATCCAGGAGAGTAATTAGGATTCCACAGCTGAAGAGCCCCAAACTTTAAGGAGGACCCAGAGGCTACACTGACTGCGTCTTCAAGCCTTTGTGAGTTGAAGAGGGAAAAAGGCTGGAAGCCCTCAGTCATTTTCGAGTCTATGTGCTGGCCTTACTTTGATTTTTGTTCTTGTTACAGGATGCCCAGATGTTTAGGAAGACTTCCAGAGCAAAAGGGGACACATTACCCAGGATAGGTATATATTTGTGTTTTAGTTCTTGCCCCATTTCCAACTGCATATGAAGATTAGTTTGCTAAAATTTTCCTGGTGAGTTCTGTGTTCATGAAGGGACTGAAGTGTGTTTATCTTTTCAGTGTGGGAGAAACACCAGGTGTTAACAAATAAACAGGATCCCACATAAGGTGACAAGAGGCATCTGAACGTCCTTCCAATCTCATATCAAACGTCCTCCAATAAACTGAAAGTCCCATTGTTCTTATTAATGGTAAAAATTACCATTTTAAACATCTATAGTGTTGTAAGCTTTTTATAAACAAAATCTTATTTCATAATTTTAACAGAACGGTAAGTAGCTATTGTCGTTCCTAGTTTACAAGTAAAGAATGGTTTCAGAGAGGTCGCTGCCTTGCCCAAGGTGACACAGCTAGGATACAGCAAATCCAAGATGCGACCCAGGTCTACATGGGTCCACCTGTATAGCCTTACACCATCTCAGTATTGATATTAAAGCTTGTTAAGATACAGATGTATTTTATCCAGCAGATTGCAAGCTGAGTCATCCTCAAAACCTCAGTATTATTGATTGGTTCAAATTAGGGAGATATGGCCTAAAAAGCAGGACCTTGAAAGAATGAAGCACAGAAAACTTAAAAAGCTGCCAAGATTGGGAGCACTCACCACCTAAGAAGAGCAGAATAGTGCCCAGCGCACAGAGGAGGCCTCATCAGTGCAATCCCTTCCCTTCCTGTCTTGCCTGAGCTGCACGGCGGAATGACAGGGGGAGAAGGCTGGACGCCAGAGACCCTGGATCCTAGAAGAAGGCGCAACAAAAAGTCGAAGGTCCTCTGAACAGGTGATAAGAGACGCTCCAAGGCGGACAATCTATTTTGTCAAACACACCAAAGGTGAGCCCTCTCTATTCACACGAGGGCTGTTCCCTGTGCCATTTTTGAGTTAAGATGGATGGTCCCGAAGTGTGGCACAGGTTTTGATTCTATCTCCTTACCTGGAAGTCTACCTGAGGATTCACTAAGAAGGAGCCTATAGCTAGTCGTTGTTACCCGGGCGTTTCCCTGGATAGCCACAATGCCCTGTGATAAGTGCTCGTCATAACTGTAGTTGCAGCAACAGCAACCACTAACTAAGCACGTGGAATATGTTAGATGAGGCACCAAATTCCGTACGTATATGTATCATCTCATCTGATCCTCTCAACAGCCCTCAAAAGTTGACATCATTACTCCTACTTCGTGTATTTAATACGGAATAGAAAGGTCAAGTAATTTGCCCATGACCACCCAGCTGGTGTGTGGTGGTGCTGGAAATAATTTATTTCAGACTCCAAACATCGTATTCTTGACGCTTACATTGTATTCTTTGTTACTGTTACCCTCATCATCCATGATCTGGGGAAACTGAGGCACAGAGTGTTAATCCATTAAGGTAAGTGTTTGAGATAAATTTGAGACTTAAAAGCAAACATTTGCTTCGTAATTGTCCAGCCGTTCATTTTACTAATATTTATGGTGAGAATAATTAAGTAATATAATGAATATCTACAGTGAAGTATAATTGAACATGGTAAATATATTACTAATAAATGAAAAAATAAACGTTAGTGCAATCATAAGTGTTATTTCCTTCACAACTTACTGTCTTCCACTCAAAAGCCTTCTTTAATCTCCTCTAAAGCAGGAATTCTTAGTCCTGGTCCTAAAGGCTTCTGGATAGCATCTGGGGGTGGGAAGGGGAGGAGGTACATAGATTTGGGTAGGAAAAGGTGACATTTTTATTTCACTACCTCTAATTGAAATGTAATTTGCCATCTATAAATGTTGGCAACATTGGTAGCATGTAGGAATATCTGTAACTTTTCACCAATAGAAATTGCATATTTTTATATTATTATTTTACAGCTGTGACGAATGTCTTGAAATGTCATTTGTGCTTATCTCTACTTGAAAATCACGGTAGTTATTAGACCTCCTGCTTAATCTAATCCTTTAATAAGGAAGCATACATGTATTACTTTCACATTTTGAGAAGTGCATCTCAGTGTAAGTAGTCTCTTTGGTAAGCCTGCTCAGTTTCTTTTATGTATTTGAAGACATCGAGGAGAGTCCATGGGCTTTACCATAGAAAAGTCTGAGCGCTCTGCCCGAAGCCACGCATCAGGGGGACTGTTCTGACAGGTGGCAGCTGGGTGCAGAGAGGGTGACCTGCCTGGCCTTTCCAAGCATAGGGTCTGGACCTAAGCCCAGCCTGAGAAATCCCTTCCTTCTGCCTCGCTCAGACCAGTGGATGTGCAGAGCGGGTCCTCTCTTTGCTCAGCTCGGTTCCTCATGGTCCCAGAAAGCGGCGCATCCCACCAACAGAAAGTCAGCCCTTGGCGCCTCTCCAAACACAAACTGAGGCTCAGGGCCTGCAGTGGCCGCTGGTCACTCAGGGGCTTGGTACCGACCCCGGGGTCTTGCCAGCCTTCCTGTGTGGTCCTGGCGAGTTCTTCAAGACTATGAGCTTGAAGCTCGTCTTGTCTAAATCGGGATAACAAGGTTTGATATTTGTACAGTGCTTTCTGACTTGACACCACTCCTGCATTATCTCTTCAGCTCTCACTACGACGCTGTGGGGCCACGTAAGCACGGTCACCCCGTGGCACACAGGAGGGAGCAGGCCCTGAGAGGACAGGGAACTGGCCTCCATCCCGGAGGCACCTCCATCTCAGGGCTGGCACCTGGGTCTTTGGAGCCTCAGCAAAACACCCCTTCCTCAACCTGGACTCCTCACCCTGGTCCGCAGAAACAGCCTCTGGGCACCCCGCTGCCAGCTGTTCCATCCTTAGGGACACATTTTCTCCGATGGCCCCTCAGTTCCTCCCACAGGATCCCTCTCCCGGCTCCACCAGCGCCTGACAGGCTGCCTCTGACCTGGCCTGGATCCCGCCCTGCCTTGTAACGCTTTTGTGCGCTGTCCCTCACGCTGAACCTCAGGTCTGCACACACTTGCTCACTGACTCTGGACAAGTCACCTCAACTGCCTGAGCCTCATCTTCTCATCTAGAAACGGGGAGAACACTGATTTCAGCGTTTGTCATGAAAGTAAATAAGATGCTTTTGCAGAACCATAAAATCCTTTATAAAGCAGCACTTGATGCTCCCAGCAACCAAAGTAAAGACAGGCTGGGAGGAGGTGAGGGGCAGAAGAAGGGGCTGGGGATGCACAGACCACTCAGGTCCTGGCTGTGACACCTTTACTTGTACATCCCTGGAAAAATTGCTCCGCCTTCCTGAGCCTCAGTGCTCATCTTTGATGGAAATATTTGATCTTCTTACTAAAGTTTTTGTGATGATAAAAGGAGATGATGTATCGAAGATCTTAATACAACGCCTGGCACTCAATAACTTGTGTGGTGGTGGTGGTATTATTATTATTTTCTCTCTTGGAGCAGAGTCTTTTCTCACAAATTTCGTGTCCCACAACATTAAGCATAGTGTTTTGCCAGTAAAAGGTGCCAAAATATAATTTTTGAAGAAATGATTGATTTTTTTTAAATACTATGAGATAATAAAAGAGATAGGAACCACTGTAAATTTTTAAAAGGTCTATCTAACTATCCTGCATCACAATTTTTTCCATGTTATAGAGAAAGTGAACATGCCTCAATTCTTGGGGTCCATCCCGGTTATTTCTCCACTTCTGAAGACTGTAGAATATGCTGTCTACATACATACATAATGAGAATATAACACTTCCTGGTCCGGTGCACAGGGAGCTTTCCAGGCTCCATCACTCCCATTAGATGGTGAGCTCCATGGGGACTGAGTCCACATTTACAGCTCTTCAAACCCTCCGGAGTTAGCGGAAGGCAGGGCAAGGAGAGGCCTCCACTGAACGTCTGCTGCCACCACAATGGTTCTACCCAGTCCGTGGCCCGGGGTCCAGGCAGGGTCGGTGCCAAGGCCTTGAGTAGGGGACGCATTCTCCTTTCTCTTTCTGTGAATGCCTTTGAGAAAAGCAGCCCTTAGGTTTGACATAAGTAGAGAACCAAAACAGCCATTGAGGATGCTGTGATTTTTACTACAGGAGTTAATTATCAGCTGACACATGAAAAAAGAGAACTGTTTACAGGCATTTAATGTTAAATTAATGAAATGCACAGCTGGGCACTACGGGATCATCCCAGCGGATATCATGACGTTGGCCATATACCTCTAGCTCACTAACTCTAGGAGCTCAGGATACTTGATATTAAACGACTAAGGCTGAGAAGGCTCCCTCTGAACTAGGATGTGTCTGGAGAGGGCGTCTGACTTGCAGCTCACTTTAGACGGTACAAATAGCTTTTATTTGCATCATATCGTTTGATTCTCACAACAGCTCTGGAGTAGGTGGTGTTATCCCCATTTTTACACGTGAAGAAACTGAGTGTAAGGAACTAAATCACTGCTTAAGGATGTACAACCCGTGTATTTTCTGTTTGCTGATGTGTAACCAATTACCCCAAACCTTGGCAGCTTAAAGCAATAAGCATTTGTTCCCTCAGTTTCTGTAGGCCAAGGATCAGCACAGCTGAGCGGGGACCTCTGTCTCAGGTCTCTCCGAGGCTGGGGTCAAGCTGTTCCTGGAGGCTCACTTGGGGGAGACCGGCTTCCAAGCTCACTCTGGTTACCGCCGAATCCAGCTCCCTGCCAGCTATTAGACTAAGAACCCCAGTTCCTCAGGGGCTGTGGCCAGAGGCCCCCCTCAGTCCCTGGCCGTGTGGGCCCCTCCACAGGACAGTTCCCAGCATGGCAGCTGGCTTCCCTCAGAGTGAGCAAGCGAGAAAGGGAGGGAGAGCTCCCAACGCAGAGACATAGTCATTTACAACCTACTCTTGAAAGTGACACCTGTCCCCCCTGCCGCGTTCTGTTCACTAGAGGGGGTCACTAGATGTGGGAAGGGGTACAGGGGCACGTGAAGCAGGAGACGGGGTCACTAGGATCGTCTCAGAGGCTGCCCACACAGCTCGTTAGTGGTGAGGAAAGGACTCAGTTTAGATCAGTGTTTTGTCTGATACACCGTGTTGCTCCAGCCAGGATCCATTAATTCTGCAAGTATCCACTGCAGGGACTATTCTTGACACAAAGGGCGCAAAAACAGAATGTGTGACCTGGGGAGACTCGCGATACCCGAGTGAAGACTGACGGGACAATCACAGTCCACCGGGACGAAGGCCGTGCCAGAGGAACGCATGCGGCCTGGTGGGAACGCGCAGTGAGGCGCACAGCCCAGCCCCGGAGGAGGAGCTGGCGTCTAGTAAGTGTGGACGGACCCCACAGGCTGGCAGCACGAGGGGAGGAGACGTACAGAGAGGCGTTCCCAGCACCTGTGAAAGGCGGACATCTGAGAGACAATCGCCCATTCCACCAAGTGCAAACTCTTCTCTGCAGCTGCGAAGAGCAAGCCCTTCATGTTGGGGCTGGAGAGTTAACCTGTGCAGTGGTTCTCACCCCGATTTGTTAGAACCACCTGGAGGGCTTTTAAAAGGCCTATACCTTAAGGAAATTAATGAAATCGAAGCTCTGGGGGTGGGGCCTGCGCATTGATTTTTTTGGTTTTTTTTTTTTGACATTTGTTGTGTGGCAGCCTTTTTAATCCTCGTATCCACCCTTTGAGACAGGCACTATTGTTATCTGCACTTTACAGAAGATTTACTTTTGCATACTTCCTTTTACTTCTCAATGTAAGTATGTGGTATCAAACATGTGATTTAAATACCCTTGTGTCGCCTCAAGGCACCCATCACAGCACCACGAAAACGGTGTTTATTAAAGCAGCTGCCGCATTCCGGAAAGCCATCGTGGCTTGCTATAAAGCCACGACACTTAGCAGGTTGGTTCCACAGGCTTCTCCACGAACAAGGCTCTGATACCAGGGATGCCTGGGTGCTGCAAGGCTGCAAGGGCCTGGCCCTCTGTCCTCAGTCAGGATGGCTCTGAAGGGCAGAGTCAGCCCAGAGCTCCCGCGGGGTCCGGGGAGGCCTTTGCTGACGTGACACCGTCGCTCACCTTCACCCGTTTCCCAGCCTGCTCCCTGTACTCTCCCACAGGTCTGCCTCTCAAGGGCTCTCCCCATAAACTCATTCCCACAGACTTCCACGTCTCCAGAGTCTGCTTCCTGAAGAACCCACCCTAAGACAAAAGGAGTACAGATGGGCCACACCTATTAACTTTATTTTACTCTCACAGAGACTTCCAGAGTAGAAATTGTACCTGCTTTATAATCAGAGAGACCGGAGCTCATCAAGCATCGTCTCGGGGAAGTTGCTTACTCTCTCTGAGCCTGTCCTCTCATCTCTGAAGAGGGACCTTACTAGGATTACACAGTTCACCTAAGCTCTATCATGGATTCCACAAACACAGGCTCTGGGTCCACGGAGGCCTAGCCATGGAGTTGAATCACCAGGAGGCTGAATTCCTAGGACACATCTGCTCAACCCATCCATACTGCTATCTATTAAATCACTCCAGGGGACTCCAAGATGCTGTCGGGGTGAGCACTCTTGGGTTCTATCGTGAAAGGACCTTGTTGACTATGCTAAGACGTTTACGTTTTATTTTCAAAACATCAGGGGAGATTTAAAGTAGGGCAGTGACTTGATTAGATTTCTATTTTAGGAATCTTCTACCTATCCAGTCTAGAAGAGAAGAAACTGGAAAGCAGGAATCGAGTGCAGAGGCTATTACAATAATCCAGCTTAGAAATGACGACAGTTGGAAATGGTGCACCAAAACGGTAGCAGTGAAGATGCAGAAAGTAGAAGAGATTAGGCCCATTTAGGCAATAACTTGATTGCATGTGGGATGTAAGGGGGAGGGATAAGCTATGGGAGACTGGAAGTTTCTAGCTTGCAACAACGGGAGACGGTGGTATGATTCCTCAAGAAAGGGATTGCAGGAGGAGTGGCAACAATGAGGGGGAAATGCTAGAAACTGAGTTCATCTGGGACAGGCCATTGAGGTGGAGATGTCCAACAGGCCACTGGAATGATGGTCAGGAGCTGAAAAGAGAGATGGGAGCTGGAGATCTTATTTATGGATCAAAGAGCCAAGGGAGTGGATGAAATCAACAAAGAAGGAAATTAAGGGTGGGCTCCAGAGGGAGAATGATGTTTCAAGTGTAGGCAGAGAGAGGGAAGCCGTGCTCCAAGACTGAGAAACAGCAACCTGAGACTTGAAGAGAAAACTAGAAGAAAGTAGTGGCACCTAAAGCAAAAGAGTTGAAACTTGCATTGGAAGCAGGTAACCAACAGGGATAAACCCTACAGAGAAGTGAATAACAATTACAATTGATGAATAACCTTTTTGGCTCTGTTTTGATCAGCAGTTTGCATCAGGCTTTGCACAGCTCTTTCAATAAGGAAGTTTTGGCAGTAAATACAAAATCAGTCCTGATTTAAATCATAATAACAGTTATTTCAGATATTGAAAAGTCTACAGAGAGAAGGTTCCAGAAATAGTGTGCCTGAGCTGATCAGATGTTCCCCTGAGCTGGGATAGCGTCACCAGCCACCTGTAAAAATGTAAGATTCTGTTAACAAGTAGGAAGGAGGAAATGGATGTTGTGTCTGCTGCATAGGATTTCCTGCAGGAATCCTTCACAACAAGGGTGCACAGCAGGAGTTACTGTCTCCTTTTTCACAGATGAGGAGCCCATGGGAGGCAGAGGTGAGGACCCTTCCAAGAACGCACATCTCGGACATGGAAGGTCCATGATTCGATCACGTCCGTCTGATTCCCAAGCCTGTGGTTTGGAAACAGTTGTAATGGAAGCTCCTTCTCTAGCTCCCTGTACAAGGGTGCACAGTCCTTTCTTCATGTGATTTTTCCTCAGGCCTTTCTGTCCCTATGCACGTATTTGGGAAGGTCTTCTCTCTCCATCAACCACTGTGACCCTACGTGTCTGCGACTTCACTGCTTGCTAGCTAAGTCTCCAACTAGTCAAGATTATTCAGAATTCTGTCTGATTCTGCAAGGTGTTGCTCATTCCTTGGAACTCAGGATTAACTAAAGAGAGAAGCACTCTCTCAGTGACACCTCTCAAGCTGTGACCGCAGTCCCCTCTGTGTGCTGGGTGACAGGGACCACTTTTTGAGCACGAACTGGGGTGCACACAGCTCACAGTTAAATGGCCTCTGGGCACTGGGTTTCCCGGCTCATTAGCCTGTTTGCTGTGGTGCAGTCATGTGTCCTACTGCTGATAAGATGGGCTGTACTTGTTACGTATTTTATCTGTAGAGTCCCCATCGATCTACACAGAAGCACATTAAACCGATTTACATGAAATGGTTTGCAAAGCTGGTCTGTGATTGCAGAGAGCTGTGACCGTCCACGTGTTAGCAGATCTGCCATCTCACTTT